TGAGATGTTTATGCGAATTCTCGTTTGGTAATCTGTGAAAGGTAGAGAGAGATGAATAAGGCCAATTTTTAACTGGTATGGAGTTTCACCTTGGGGAAATCAATGCACAAAGGCTCTTGTTCAATATGAGCTACGACTAAATCTCTAATAGTGGGATCGACCATCGAATTTGGTTCAGTATTACCATATTAGCCTGAATTTGATTCTGAACTCAGCTCTAGATATGATTGTTTTCTCCTTTTTTCTCGAAGCGTCTATGCTTGAAGTCTCCAAGCTCTGGCTTCAATTTTCAGGTCGTACTCCACTAATTCGCCTGCGTTTGTCCTGGTCATAAATCAAAAGCAAACAAAAATTAGCAACTTTGACGAAGTTCCCGACAACGACGCCAATTTGACAACTGTCATTTTGATGTCAAAATAAATTCCTTCTTCTCAATAACATATAAGAAATAAATATTTAGTAAAGAGAAGTAAGGGTCGATCCAAAGGGCTTAGAAAATTCCCAAATATCTGTTTGAATTGCTTAAACCAAGCGATAAGTAATAGATATAATGGGGTTTTGGTAAAAATGATTAAATAATAAAAAGAAATTTAAAGTAAAAATAAAGAAAATAAAGAATGTGAAGTTAAAAATGAATATGGTAACACTTTGACTCGCTTTCCTTCGGATCATCGAATTAGATTTTCTCTTCGGGATTCATGTCGATTACTTTATCTACAAGGGAAATCCTCGTGACTCTTATTTGTATACCGAATAGCCAAGGCAATATTTGATTCCATCTTTGAAAATTGATATGATAAACATCAATTATCATCGATAAAAAATTGTTTAAGTTTGTGAAGACCGACTCATATTGTTGTTTCAATAACTACGAATTCGGATCTTAATTCCCTCTTGGCAATGCAATCTCGCCAAGTGTGTTCCCAAGAAGTCAAATGTGCTTTCAATAAACCGATCCTTCCTCCCAAACATTTAAAAAACAACATCTTGACCAAAGTCAATCTTTGATTTTGAAAAATGTTTAGCTTCTGAAAATAAGCGCAGAGATTGAGAGAGATATTCCGAAGTTATTCAAGTGCTTTTCAATTCTCATGTTGGAATTGAGTCATCTCTTAAGCTCTCATCTTATGAGAAAATTAGCTAAGCATGACAAAATTCATACTTAACATGTTTAAAAATAAACTTAAAATAAAATAAAAAAGAAAACTTGAAAAGAAATGAAATGAAAACTTTATAAAACTAGAAATAAGAAGAATAGTGAAATCTGAGTTGTGAGTTGAGGCTTACCCCAAGAGGGTATTTATAGCCTCTAAAACCCTAGAGAAAACATATAAATTAAAAGAAAAATAATCGTAAAGATAATTCCAAATGTTTTCTAAATTTAAACTTTAAAATTAAAAATAAATCTCCTAAGACATCTCTGTCCATCCATCTTCTAGAAGGCGCTAACTAGATCTTCTAGAAAACTACTGCTGACTGGACCTTCTAGAAACTGCCACATCAGACTGTGTCATGCCCAGAGTTGTACCCATGTCTCCAGCTGTGACCAAATAATAGAAAAATACAGAATGTGGCCTTTTTACTGCTAAACCTGGAAAGTAAGATCCTATACAAAAATAAGCATAACACAACCAAATCAGTAGCAATAAATCTATAAGATTAAAGATTTAATAATAAAATAATATCAATTTAGAACACTCATCAGCAACAATCGCATATAAGTGAATGAAAGTCTTCACGAGATAACTAATGAAATTCTTCACGAGATGACTCTGCTTAATAGGCTTAAGGATGGGATGTTTTCTCCACTTCATCTTCAGGTCTAGTATAATACGTGTGATGAACTAAAACCCCTTGAAAACAATGCAAAAGTTGGGAAGGTAATGGGAGTAAAAGTGTGTTTAAATGTAAAAAAGTGCTAAGGTAAACTAGAGAACTTACTTAGAAATTTTCTAAACCTGTTAAGCATAGATTGGATGTAATTACGCATATACACATGCAGAGAAACTAATCCTAGTAAAAAGTTCTTGAAATCTTGATAAGTCTATCATGTTGAAGCCTATTGTTCTAAGGACTGGAATTTTTTCTATAACTTGTTTTGAGATGAACTGTTGTCATAGTATTATGACTGATAGATTTAGTTTTTATCATTGAATGAGGAAAAACAATAGCTTGAGTTTGGGGGTGTGATAACCCTGTAAAAATTGAATATTGGTTATTGATTGGTTCAAAGCTCATTTAATTGCATATAGTTGCATTAAGCATGCATTGTTGGAGTTTGCTTGTGAGTTTTTATTGTTTATTAAATGATGCTTTGATGTGGGAAAGGTACTTGCTTTGTGGTGGATTGTGCAGATTTACAAGGAAGGGTGTGAAGTGGTAAATTATCGTTTCATTTGTTTGGGTAATGAGTGAAGAATTTACTGATAGTATTTTTGGGAGAAAAAAAGATAAATTAGAGATATTTGGCATCTACACATGGGGTCCTTCTGCCAGTCGTTATTTTCCCTACACCTGAAGGGAATATTTTCCTATGACACAACAAAGAAATAAGGGCAACAAATCCTAGAATCCCCCACTATAGAAAGGGAAAACTAAATAAATGGAAAAGGAGGCATATTACAGGCAAACCGAAAATTAATGAGGTAAGCTACAGAAAAAAGCTCATCGCTTAACCATCTACTTGTCAGAGCGATATTGCGTCTGGAAGGCACCCGAGTTGAATTATCCCACCCAAATGAGTTTATCATATTCAAATCTCACATAAGTAAATTTACCTTGAGGAAGTCAAATTTGTTTCTTCCTTTTAAGGGGCTTCTGAATATCGATTCAGAATCGGTCTGCATCGTTTGCTTATATTCAATTCAAGTGAGATAGCTTTTGTGTCGTATGCGACAAATTCACCTAAGAAGTTTCCAAGTTGTTTAGCCACATGCTTAGACATGTATCCTATAGGCAGATCTTATACTAAGACCAAATATTCAACCAGATTTAGAGGGACCTACATAGGATCTTCACCTGGTTGAAATCTATGGAGAATTAAAATTCCAGCACCGCCATTGATGATCCGATGCTCATCTACTTCATGATACAAACGAAATAGAAATCTCCCCATTCCCAGGTCAGAGACGAAAATACCATTTATCGGATACCAAACACTAGCCAAAGTTGCTCTCATGGATAAAAAAGTGAATAACACTGGAAGTGTGAAAAGTCCCTACAAGACAGTGAAAGTGAGAGCCTGATTAGTCATTAGGGCAACAATGTCAAGTTCTGAACCCTCTTCGTCTCCTATTGATAGACCAACAAAAAATTATTCCATTAGCAATAAAGAAAGAAAACCAAGCCTTCGAGAATGAAGAAGAAAACATGCTACAGGAATATAGGAAAATGTACTACACGAGTAGAGATTATTTTATTCTATGCTTTTTTTATTGTCATCAAGAATTTACGGTTGCGTTTTCAGTCATGTCATGGTTACCGTGATTGTAGCCATAGTGGACACTATTACAAGTATAGTTGGTATATCGGAATACTGCGTTACCGCTATTTCGTGGCCGTTATCGCTGTTGCGGACGGCTATTTAAAACCCTTATTATCATTACTAGATTTTTATTTTACATAATCTTCTTTCTAACAACCTCGACTCGAAAAGAGGAAAAGAAACCCATGAACAAACTTCAGTTTGAAGAGGGCACTTTTCATTTTTCAGATTCCCTTTTTTCTCTCAGAAATAATGCAAAGAAGTTGATTGACTTCTAAAATTTGTTTTTGCATGATTATACAGATTCACTTTTTCTTTAAAAGAAAAAAAAATCTAAAATTGATACAGACGATTTATTATGCAGCCTTGGGCTTTGGCTTCATTTGTTTGGCATTCGAGTACAAGAAGACTCCGGTAAAAGCTAGTGTAGTGCCTGCATGAATGGCAGCAGTTAAACGTTACAATACAAATATAAGTTGTAATGTGAGATAACGATCGTAATGTATGTTAATTTGAAATTTACTGTACTGCAGAAAAACTGATGAGCAAGTTAATTTACCAAGGGAGTTAATGGGTGAAACGGTGTTTGGAAGAAGATAACTGATGACCACAACTCTCTTCACGCAGTTCCCCACTGAATGTGTCACTGGTGACACCATTTGCAGTATCATATATGACACCTGTCATACACAGTTTACACTTTAAAATGCACTGCATACAATTATCACACGTAGTATTTAGTACTTTGTGAGATGTGTTTTTGGACATTGGGGTATTTACTATTTCTTTTAAATATAGGGTAAATTACATATTTAATATCTTAATTATCGTTCGTTATGTTCATTCAATTATTATATTTTATCAAAATCATATCTAATATTATGTTTTAGTTTTATTTTGGATGTTCGTCACTAAAAAAAGTAACAAAACTACTGGTGCAATGATAGATCCAAAATATTTTTTAGAATGGAAACACATATGTTAACAACATAAATTTTTTGAATAGGGCAAACACAAATAAAATTTCATGTTGGACGCCATCAGTAAAATAAGTAATTAATTCAAAAAATTTGAATTTCAGGATAGACGCATGCCTACACTTAAGTTGTGGCTTCGTCACTATGCTGACGTGACATTTAAAAGAAATCAATGATGACATGATATTACCTTATAGTAATACATCAGTATCGGTGGTAACTTTTAATTGTAGATAATCAAAATGAAAAAAATAATAATAATGTTAGGTATGATTTTGAAAAAAAATAGTTTAATGACCAAATGGAAAAAAAAATGATAGTTGTGATACTAAATGAGTAATTTACCCTTAAATGTGTTACAACTTTTATAAGAAAATTATATACTTGTATAGAATATATATTCATATATGGCATAATATATAATATACAGAATGACTAAAAAGAGGGTAGTTCTGTCGTACAACAGTCTAATTTAAGGCTAAAGAAAGACGTAACCGAAAATATTAAAAAATATCTTAATATTTTCAGTTAAAAGCAACCTAAAATGTTAAGTTTAGCTCTCTAATATTCAAACCTTGCTTTGCCTTAATCCAAAAAAAAATCATGTAAATGGCATAACAAGATATACTTGCTTCAAGACAAACATCTCAACATATGATGTACAGCAGATTGTAGATATGGACTGAACTTGACACCTTCCAATAAAATGGCAGCAGGAACCAATAGAATAAACGAAATTATGGTTATTATTGAGAAAATATTGATATTGTCCGATGTCTCCTCATTTCTAACCATGAACTTTTTGCTAAGCACATTGCGCGATTGGTTAGTGACATTGGAAGCAATTGCAGTGCAGAAACCAATCCTGTTCAGGAAAGCCAGAATCCATTTTTAAGAATCCAGATTATGAGATTATCGAGCGATTGGATCATGAGTCGAGTAGTGCTCAACTCAAATTTGTTTAACTCGTGCTCGACTCGATTTGTTATTCGTTTAGTTTGATAAAATTTCATATGATTTTTGCTCGGTAAAAAATTATTGCTCAACTAGACTCGTTGCTCATTAAACTCATTACTTTTTTTTTATTGTTTTTTGCAATATATATGTATAATCTAGTAATACTATATAGAGCCTAATATAAACATAAATTGACATGTTTAAAAAAATATCAAAATAATGTGTAAAAGAATTTCAAAATCTAAACTCCAAAGTAACAATCAGGGGTGGAACATAAGATAGACTAGAGGGGGCCATGGCCCCCAAAAATTTAAAAAATTATAATTTTAACTCTTAAATTATAAAAAAACAATTTGGCCCCTCTAAAATTTTTAGAAATTCAAATTAAATTTTAATTTCTTTAACGTTCTTAATTAAACCCTCCCATAATTTTTAAAAATTCTCATTAAGCCTCTCAAAATCTAAAAAATTGTAGTTAGACTCTAATTTTTTTAGAAAAAAAATTTAAACTAAAACCTTGCAAAATGTTTTAAATTTTTTAATTTAAACCTCTAAATAGTTTAAAATTTTAAGTTGCCCCCCTAAACTCTATTACTAAGTTTCGCCATTGGTAACAATCCACAAATACAACAAAGTAACGTATTACAACTATTCTTGAAAAAAGAAGAAGAATTTTAATAATATATAATCAATCTTAAAAACGAGACAATCAACATCCTGAAAAATATATATAAAAAATTAACGAGTTACTCGCGAACTTATATAATCGAGTTAAGTCTTACTCGGCTAGATTCCTTAAGGTTTTGAATCGAACTTAGGTTCCAGTTGAGTCAAATTAAATAAAAATATATCAAATTGTGATCGAATCGAACTTGAATTGCTCACGGGCTACTGAAATCCGTTAGCATCCCTATCCCAATCTCAGGTGAAATAAGTTAATTAAGAAAAATCCTCTTACCAATTAAAAGATGCCTCAGTGAATGATGCTAATGCCACTCCACCTACAACTGGTACGAGGGAGGACACCATCCAAAAACTAGGCCACTGCAAACAATGGAATTGTAGTCGAAGGATTCAAAGATAAAACACAACTTGATTCTCATATACTAAATTCGTATCATGTAAATAGTAATGAATTGAAATCTCAGCAAAATCTTGGTTTCAACTAATTTCAAACTCATACCTCTCCAAGAACTAGAACAAAGAACAAGACAGTGAAAAAGGGCTCCATTGCTTTAATGGTGTGAGTGAATGAGACATTAACCTTGCCAACACTAACATTGGTCAAAAGGTTGCCAAGAGTGTGAACTACGGCCAATGGAATGATCACTGCAAGCTGAAAATTGCTTTGTAAAACACTTTCTCATTTCAGAATTCAAACAGATTGTGTGATTGGAAAAAAAAGTACCCGAGAACGAGTAAGCTTTGGTCGACGGTAGATATTTGAACCCCACATTATAAGGATCATCAGAATTCCACACCCTAATTGGAAGGCTGTAACTGTTTCTTGAAATGCATACACCTTTAAAACCTTACGAAGAACCAAAATGTACTTAAATTCTTCCACGTTTTAAGCATAAAAAAAACTTATAAGAGAACTCACCAAATGAGTTCAGTGGTAGACGAAAATGTTGTTCTACCTAAAGGTTCTAAGTTTGAGCAACTGCGTTTATAGGGAGTGTGCGCCTTATCAATTAGTTAATAAAGTTTGGAATAAATATTATCCTACTATTAAAAAACTTATAAACTAACTAATGGACAAATTAAGATCTACCCATTGCTGTAAATTGCTTTTTAATCCCAGTGGTTGGTTGTTTCCATAAAAACAGATATATGGAAAATGGAAAATGGAAAATTAGATCTTTTTTTGTTCAAGTTGACTGGATAATCTAATGTTATTTTCCCATTTTATTACACAAACAGACAGGAAAATAACAAATTTTAGATGAAAATGGATTTAGAACTGCTTGTTGAAAATGTTGAAGTAGATATTCAAAATATACCAAATTGCAAACATGGCTCCAAGTTTCAAGCTCGTACCCAAACCGGTAGAGCTCTTCGTCTCACCCATGTTTTCAGGAACCTGTTGGGCTCTGACCCTAAAACTATCATATCTTCCTTCTGAAATAAGCAATGACTCAGAGATTCGAGAAGCATTGAAGGAGGAAGAAGAAGAAAGCAAAGAAGCTTTTTGAATTGAAAGTCCATTGATGGAAGTGTGGAGGTGTGATGGCTTTAAAGAAGTTGTTGGAACCAGAGTACATCTGCGATTTGAGTTCTTATTTAAACGCCTCAACAATGGAGGTAAAGGAGAAAGAGTGAGAGCAGTGCTCTGCATCTTGAAGGTTGCAAATGTAAGGCAAGGTCATTGTTTTTGTGGGGGCTTTAAGCTCTGCACGAATCAACAAAAGGCATTTACTTTTGCAGCTGGCAGTTAACTTAAAAAGACAATATGGACAACTGTTATGTTTTTCCTACGTTCCAAGGTTTCGCCTTAACTAATTCGGATCTATAGTCTCCCAACAGAGATTTTTTACATATATAAGGATTTCAACTCGAAACATTGTAGCAACTTCAACTCGAGACACTATAGCAATATCAAGTTCTTTACCACTTGAAGCAATAGGTAACCGGCAGTTAGCTTAACAAGTCAATGTGGACAACATTTGTGTTTTTTCCCCTACGGTTTCAAGATTTCGTCTTAACTAATCCGGACCTAGATTCTCCAACATATATTTTCTGCATACACAAGGACTCGAACTTGAGACATTGTTTAAACGATATCAAGTTGTTTACCACTTGAACTAACGTTGATAGAACAATTTTGCTTTAAAGGTGGTGAAACTTAGAAAATGATCAGTTTTCAAAATCTTCCACCACAAATTAAAGTAGAGGTTCATGTTTGATGTTTAATTATCGATAATAATTATGGGATAATGTGAAATTGCAGACTAGAACAAAAGAGACAAAATGATCCAATCCAAGGTTTCGTTTTGTGGGGTTTGATTAGCTGGAAGTGAAAATTCCATGGATAGCTTGAATTTCCAAGTATGTGAATCTAAGCTGCTTTGTCAAAGATGTGTCAATGGCGACCTGTTTCTCGAAAGGAAAATCTAAACATGGCCCTCAATCCTCATATTTTTTGCCGACAAAAGTTGTCCCCTAAAATCCATTTCCATGATATTTCAAGCTTTGGAATTCCATCAAAAAGCAAAATTGGGTCAATAATGGAGGAAAATTAATAGAAATTATAAAAAATATTATTTTTCATTTTAGGATAATTGTCATAGTATTTAGAGAACTCGTCATTCTTTCATGATAGTTCTTAAAGATATTATTTTTTAATGGGCCTGGTCATGTGGGTCATGTTGGTCATATTAGTTTATTATTTTTCATGGAACTCGTCATTCTTTCTTGACAAGTTCCATGTAATTAATTAAAAATTATTTTTTTTGAAATATTTTATTTTTATTACTATTTACATTAAAAAATACAGAAATTCGTCATTCTCTCTTGACTAGTTTTTTGTAGATGTCTGTTGAGTTTAAAAATTATAGTCGTTGATATGATTGTTTGATATATTATTTTTTTTAATTTTTAAATTTGGAAATCATCATTCCCTCATGACGAGAAGAAAATTGATAGATATAGTGTTGAGATTCAGAAAATGAATGCACGTGAAAAATTTATGCTTGATATGTTAAACGGCGTATATGGATTCTACGACTCTGACTATTCCGATGTTTCAAGCTCATCTTCAGATGATGAGTTGATATACCACTAAATTATTTTTGAAGCATCGAGAGGAAAGGAAAATGAAGGACGTTTAGGAGGAGCTTAAAAACTCGAAGGAACTTGATAAGAATAAGAAAAAGAAAGTGAAGTTTGAAAACTTATCAATCCAAAGTAGCAAACAACTTAGAGAGAAGAGTAAAAAATTAATAATAATTGTACGAAAAAAATATGTTGCGGGTGTAGTGGTAGGATAAGTAGAATGAATCAAAGTAACGAGATTAAGGTTTAAGTATATGTATGAAAATGTCATTAGTAATGAAGTAATTATCGTTTTAAGTGATGTTATATATGAATAGTTGCAACTATTAACATATAGTAATGACTTAAAGTATATGTGTAAAAAACATAATATTAAAATACACATAATCTTAAAATAGAAGCTTGTTTAAAATACATAAACACACTTATATTAAAGTATGCTAACAATTCAAAAAACAACATGTGAAATATATTAATATATAGAACTAAAGAAGGTTTCATCACTGAGCTCAATTACTTGGAAGATTCAAACAATGTTTTTTGTTGTGCCATTTACCTCTGCAGTACCCACAAAGTTTTGGTTGACCTTCCTCTCTTCGATTATAATCAATATTTCTATGAATTCAGGTAGATTCATGTCGACCCTTCAACTTTCAATGCAATTGTGGATTTCGTAATCATTCTTCGTAAATAGGATCTTTAGGCCAATAAGTTTCATTTGGGATATGCTTAAACTCGAAAATTTTTATGTTACACATAGCGTGCATGCTAAAATAGTTATTAGCATATGTGTCAATATTAACATGCATACATGCAACAACAACATGAGAGTATGGGAATATAAAAGCTTGAAACTGACCACAATCACACTATCTTCTATTAAGATTACCAGTGTAGATGATAGAATTGCCTTTGTGATGTGGTAGAACGAGTGCTTGGACAACGTAATCAACATCAAGTTTGAAGAAATTATGAGCAAACATTGAGGTTGCCTCCAATTGATTTTTTTGCATTACCGTCTCCAAATTTGGAGCCCAATGCCTCTCATCATTGATCATGGCCTCTACTTGAACGCATTTGCTTGACCAAACTTAACCTAATCTGAAGTATATCTACCTAAAAATACTTGCTCTTGGGAGATGTCGAGTCCCTTTCAGAACTGAATTTATACATTTGATAAGGTTCATTATCATATGGCCGTAACATCGACCCTCATCATAGGCTTGTGACAATCTTTCCCTTGGAATGCTAGCTATGAACTTTTAAATGTTTTTGCTATAATTTTTATAGCCCCAAATTTTGGATAGTAACCAAAATATAAGTTTTAAAGGTTTAGCGACCAAAGTATGAAATTAGGAAATGTTTAGGAACCTTAGTGGTAATTTCCAAAATCAATTATTCCATAAATGGATAGTTTACTCTTGAGAGAGGGTTTTATTGAAATTAGATTCTTGATCCATAATTTACTTTGAAAACTAGAAAGGGTTAAAGTCCAGTAATAAATTGGTAAATTAGATCGGATGGAAAATTTGGAAAAAATTGAAGAATGATAAATTAGGCCTAAAATATTATTTATACATGTTAAAATGATGGAAAATAATATGGATCATTGGATTTGAAGATTTATTTTCATGTTTAATTTGGACCTTTGGATCAAAGTGGCAAGATTATAATTTTTGGAAAGTTACATGGTAAAAGTGGAAAAGGTAAAATATTTTGTTCATCTTTGACTTTGGAAAGATGATAAGGTTATGTGGCTTGGTATTATTGTAAATTTAAAGTTTCATTAATGGCAAAATGTACATTTCTCATTAAATAAATATTTTATTCATTTAAGCATAAATAAAGGTTAAATTAACATGAAATTACATGAAACTTAGCCCTTTTTCAGCTCCATTTCTTACTCCCCATGAACTAGGTAAGAGAAGTTTTATTTTTCATTTTTGAGCAATTTCCTTTGGATTTTGAATCATGCCGTGAAATAGAAAATTTTTCTATTCGACAAAACGCTATCATTTGGTACCTTTATTGCTTGCTAATTTGGTTTGTGTTTAAAGACCCCAAATTCTAGGGTTATGGAATTGATGAAGATTTTGATGTTTTTGAGGTTGTAGAATAAATTCCAAGCATGATTTATGATTAAAATCAATTATATATGCCTATATAAGCTATGAGTAATTTCAGCCTAACCCTAATCCTAGAGGAAGTTTATTTTATGATGAAATTTGGTTAGGGATTGACTGTAGAGATTGTATAAGGTTGAATTGAGGTTGATTTCATGTTTGAATCGAATCAAAATCATGAAAACCCCAATCTTAGGGTACATAAACCATTCAGCCTTGAGGAAGATGATGGGGAAAAATTGTGAAAAAATTCATATGGCTTAGAAATGATATTAGAAAGGTTCTACAAGCCTTAGAAATATTTTTGGGCTAATCTGTAATTTTGTGAAATTTAGGGGAACAAAGCGATAATTATGAAAAAAATGTGGGTTGTTGTATAATTGTTCAATAATTATTGTAATATGTTGGAAATTTTTATTTGGGGGACTGAAATTGAAGTTAGAATGTGAAATTTAACCATTTTGGAAAATTGACAAAGTTTGAGTGCTAAATGGTAAACATTGAAAAAGTTAGTGGATTAAACGATAAATATGGTATTGTTGAGGTATTTGGGCTGAAATTTTAATGCTAAAAATTATTGGGATTTTTTGGGCCTTGAATTGAAGAATTGATGACAAAAGCCCAATATGAATAAAAAGGAAAAATTAAAAGGAATTTTAGAAGAATTAGAAAATAATAGTACTTTTGGAGTATTATTATTAAGTATGAAATGTTAGTAAAAATACTAACATGTATTTTATATTTGTATATGCTTTGTATGGATGCTTGTGTAGACCGTGATCGAACTCGTGATACAAGCAAAAAGAAAGGAAAGGAAAAAGTTGAAGAATAATTAGATTTCGATAATAAGGCATAATAGTGAGGCATACCATGTGAGTATATGATACGAGGACAACTTGCAATGAGTCAACCTTGAATGTTTTTATAAAAGCATGTTTTATCGTATTTTGAAATATTTTCATAAAGTTTATGAGAATGATTTTTAAGAAAAAATATTAGGGTAGGAACTACCCAATAATATATGGATGAACTTATAAATTGTTTTAACATCTATCGATATTTCAAAATAAATGTTTAATATGTGAATTCGATTTAAAGGACTATTGTATTTGCATGGAGAGTCATAGGTGCATTTTGACATACTTTGAGTATGATAATTATCGATCGATTTTGACATACTAGGCATGAGTTTGTTGTATCCACATTATGTTTGGGTTGATTGTCGTAAGAAACATTTATTTCATAAAGATGCAGAGGATTTGGAAATTATAATGATTAGTGAAAATTCAAAATCACCACTGATAACTCCATAAAAGGTTACATTTTGGGACCTTTTCACTTAAGTTATTGAATGTTTAAGAGCTCATTTAAGACCATGTAGATGCATTTAGAAGAATTTAGTTGCATGTGGTGGAATTCGGTTTGCCGCGGCATTTTAATT